GGTCTGAAGGTGTGCCAGGAGGCACCCCACTCTCACATCCTTTTCTACCCTTTGCAGCCAAACTTCTGGAAAGAATTGTTGCATTCATGACCTCCTCCAGCCACGGTACAGTGGTCTCCATCCCCACTGAGCCTTGACACTCCCTGGCGACATCACCTGCCTCCTCCTGACTGCTCGCTGCAGTGGACGCTTGCCCATTCTGATCTCCACTGACCTTGTAGCCACACGTGACCTGCTGCCACCCCCTACTCATTGCATTTCCAACACACACACACTCTTTTTAAAGCATGCTTTAAAGAGCAGTTTATTGGGGCGCCTGGGTGGCGCAGTCGGTTAGGCGTCCGACTTCAGCCAGGTCACGATCTCGCGGCCCGGGAGTTCGAGCCCCGCGTCGGGCTCTGGGCTGATGGCTCAGAGCTTGGAGCCTGTTTCCGATTCTGTGTCTCCCTCTCTCTCTGCCCCTCCCCCGTTCATGCTCTGTCTCTCTCTGTCCCAAAAATAAATAAAACGTTGAAAAAAAAATTTTTTTTAAAAAATAAAGAGCAGTTTATTTGTTTTAAATGTTTATTTTTGAGAAAGAGGGGGAGGGGGAGGGGAACGGGGCAGAGAGGGAGCTCTGTGCTGACAGCAGAGAGCCTGATATGGGGCTCAAACTCACAAACCATGAGATCATGGCCTGAGCTGAAGTAGGATGCACTTAACCAACTGAGCCATCCAGGCGCCCCTAAAAAGCGTTTTAAAGGATGCTCTTTATAGGGGCTCCAGGGTAGCTCAGTTGGTTGAACGTCTTGACTTTGGCTCAGGTCATGATCTCACGGTTCAAGGGTTCAAGCCCCGCGTTGGGCTTTGTGCTGGCAGCTTGGAGGCTGGAGCCTGCTTCGGATTCTCTGTCTCTCTTTATCTCTGCCCCTCCCTTGCTTGCACTCTTACTCCCTCTCTCTGTCTCTCTCTCTCTGTCTCTCTCTCTCTTAAAAAAATAAACGTTAAAAAAAAATGCTTTTTCTATTCTTTAGCTTCCCCGGCCGGTTCTTCTTCCCCCACCTCCTGGGCTTCTTTCTTTCCCATCCTTTAAATTTTAATTTGGAATGCATGAACGATGTGCCAGAGGTCAGGAGAGTTGGACACAAGGTTTTCGTGGAGGGTCTGGCCTCTCCAGCGAATTTTGTCCCTTGCCTGGTGCATCGAGGACCCGGTAGCCTAGAAGGGTTCTGTGCCCCCAGAGAGTTCTCGACTCTCACACTGCAGGTCAAGAAATGGCTGTGAGGAAGGTTCTGGGCTTTGGAGCTCTTCTCTGCACGTTTTGAGGGCTTTAAGCTTGAGGCTCTTGCTGGAGGCAGGTCCTTCAGAGGCCTGGTTTGACGGGAGGCAGAGCGCCACAGAAGAAAGAGCTTGCGTCTGTAGTCAGACAGGGCCGGTTCAGGTCCAAGCTTCTCCTGTCCCTCAGGTGACCTGGGACAAGCTTTAAGCTCCAGCTTTTCTCTTCTGTAAAGTGGGGATGATCATGTCTGGCAGATAGGCTGTGAGGACTAAAAGGCTGTGGTAGAAAAGGAGGCATCCAGAGTGTGACCGCTCTTGGTGGATGGCCACTAAACTGGTCTAGGCCAGCCTCTGGGGCAGAGGACAGACCCGGCGACTCCTAAGCTTGAAAAAACAGAAAAGTTTGGAAGGAATCTTCCACACAGAAAAGAAGCTGTGCCCCCCCTGGAGGGGGTGTTCATTCAGTCCGCAAATATGAATGAATGAACAAGTGAATGAATGAAGACTGGTGGGGCCAGCGGTGGGAGCCGGGGGTGGGGGTGGGGGGGGAAGGGCGCCCCTGTGAGGGTAGTACCCCCTGGCTCTTTCTGGTGCTCTGCACACTTGTGTTTGTTTAGTCTGCTCTTCCTGAGACAGAATGAGCTCTTTTTTTTTAAGATTTTTTTTAACGTTTATTCATTTTTTTGGTGGAAAGAGACAGAGCGTGAGTGGAGGCGGACAGAGAGAGAGGGAGGCACAGAATCCCAAGCAGCTCCAGCCTCTGAGCTGTCAGCAGACAGCCCAGTGCGGGGCTCGAACACACGGACTGTGAGATCATGACCTGAGCCAAAGTCGGCCGCTTAACCGACTGAGCCACCCAGGCGCCCTGAGAACGAAGTTCTTGAGATTGTGGGCTGTGTGTGTCATGACCTTTCCTGTCCTCTGGCCAGCACTTGGCACACAGCAGGTGGCTGGAATAGGTGTGGCCTCTCCCTAGATAAGACATCCTGGGCAGGGTGGGGATGGGGTGCCAAAATCCCGGTCGTGGGAAAGAGAAGAGGAATGAAGTCCTCGGACCCTGCCCCTGTCCAAACACACACAACTGGGATGCGGGCAGTAAAGTAGTGGCTGGACTTCTGTGCCGCTCGGAGGCCAGGGTCAAGTTTGCTTCCTTCAGCCCCTGGAGTCTCCGAGGATGAGATGACAAAAGGCCTACTTTTAGAGAGAGACCAAATGAGGTGGATGACGTCGGCGTTGTGACGTGGTGTTAGGCTTCTGTTGACCTGGTGATACGTCGGGTAACTGACACTGCAGATAAGGGGGTAGGGGGACTAGTGCTGTGGCTATAATTACCATTAATGTCAAGTGTATCTCCCGAAACCTCTGGAGTTCTTTTGAGTTTCAGGGAGGGGTGGGGGGGGGGGGCTGGAGTCTGGGAGCCATCTCCTCGGCAGGATTTGTCACTGTGGGCCTGGGGTGTTCCTGTGACCCGCAGAGCCTAAAGCAGTGGGCAGGAGAGGATTACAGGTGGAAGGACCCCTGGTCAGCTTTCCCTGCCTGCCCTGTGCAGAGACGCTGTGGGGAGGTAACCCAAAGGTGCCTACCAGGGCAGATTTTCTGCTTGGATTGTGCCTTGCCAGGCTGATGGCATTTCCTGTGGACATACCAGGGACCTGCTGGTGGATGGAGGGGAGGCAGGTGGTCATATGGAACCCAGGACGATCACAGCGCACCAGCCAGAGCTATAAAAGGACCCAGAGGAGACCCTCAACTAGGGCACCCTCTGCCGATATAAGGGAAACACGGTGCTTGTGGGAGGGCGTCTCAGGGGACTTGGGAACGTTACATTTGGAACAGAAGAGACCTGAGAGCCTCTATCTTTAGACGCTGCATTCCAATAGATAAACTTGAGAGTAGTAACCTCACATGGATCTTTTATCTTTCTATCTGCAGCTCCCGGTTTCTGATTAGAACCACCTGTGGGGCAATGCGTTCCCTGTCCCTGCAGATGTTCAAATGTAGATGGATGGGACATCCCCTCGGGAGGTGTACTAACTATGAAATCATTAGTGACACCAGGGACGGCGGCCCCTCCCATCGTGAGATTGCATTTGGTGGTGTGGGGGTGGGCTTTGTGGGTGCTGCAAAGCAGCCCTTTCCCTGGTGGTGACCAGTCCTTTCCTCAAAGGACCGTTCAGGAAACAGGGGCTCCCTCTGGGCATTATTAGACGTGGACCATGGCTGCTACCCAGCGGACCCTCCGGTACTGAGACCCCTCCATCTTTCTGCGAATGCGGCCATACCACTGATCATTCAGCCCTTTTCCTTCTCCAAGATCTTTCTCTCTTTCCTTTCACCTGCTCCACGGGCATAAGCCTTGGCCAGCTCCTTGCCTCCACACAGCCAGGCCAGGTCAAGGACAGGCGGACCCAGCATGGTTCTGGGAGAAGGGACTTTCATTTTAGGTAACCTTTAGGACCCTTCACAGTGACCTTGTCATGTTGGTAATGCTCCCTTGCCTCTGTGGGTGAGGTAGGAACGCTCAGAGCTTGAAATGTAGGGTGAAGAAACTGCTAGGGATGCGAGGACCTAAGGCTGGAAGGGGCCCCCTCAGGTCACTTCCTGGAGACACAGTCTCTGGGGCCGGGTGGGGCTGGGAAGCCAGCCTGCTGAAGGGTTAGGGACGGGGAGGGGGAGGGGGCCTGGAGCCACCTTCCAGATGTGCCCTGGGCCAGAGGCAAACCCCAGAGAGCAGCTTTTGCCACCAGCCCTGCCTCTTGCCCTGGCCAGGTGCCTTGGTGGTGTGTCTGGTCCCAGTCTCAGTGATGGCGGCATATTGGGGAAGCACCAAGCTTGGACTTACCCAATGCCTCAGTGGAGCTGGGTGAAAGGGGTTATCAGGTCACAGCACTGAGGGGGTCTGGGCCAGGGCCTAGCACGCTCAGACTTCCAGCCACGGCCACCATGTACTTTTGTTGTGCAGGAAGATTGGCCAGCTATTTTGTCTGTCACCCTTATGCCAGCAATTTGCAGAGAGCTGGGGTGCCTAATCTAAAGTTTATCGATCAGACGTAGTTGTTTTTTGTTTTTTTTTTTTAATTTATTTTTAATTTATTTTTTTTTTTAATTTATTTTTGAGACAGAGAGAGACAGAGCATGAACGGGGGAGGGGCAGAGAGAGCGGGAGACACAGAATCGGAAGCAGGCTCCAGGCTCCGAGCTGTCAGCACAGAGCCCGACATGGGGCTCGAACTCACAGACTGCAAGATCATGACCTGAGCTGAAGTCGGACGCTCAACTGACTAAGCCACCCAGACGCCCCAACAGACGTAGTTTTAAAGGACGCCTGGGTGGTTCAGTGGTTTGAATGTCAGACTCTTGATTGTGGCTCAGGCCATGATCTCAGCGGTCAGGGGATCAAGCCCCGCGTCAGGCTGCACCCTGGGTGTGAAGCCTGCTTGGGATTCTGTCTCCCTCTCCCTCCTTATTAAAAATAATAATGTAAAATAAAATAAAACCCTAGTTTTCTCTTTGAGGACTCAGAAGGTTCTGGGGGGTAATGCCAGAAACTTGATCTGGGCTGTGCAGTGTCCTGACCAGTTGACCTTCTGGGCCAGCATTTTATCTCACCAACGCCTTAGCGTTCAGCCCCTCCCAGCCGCCCCGCCCACTCGGTGCCCGGAGCCCAGAGCTAATTCCTGGGTCCGGCGTCACACCCACCGCACCCTCCGCAGAGCTGACTTGTCCGTGCTCTGTGTCCGCAGGCTGCTGAACAGAATGTCCGCGGACGACCGGCACCTGGGCTCCAGCTGCGGCTCCTTCATCAAGACAGAGCCGTCCAGCCCGTCCTCGGGCATCGACGCCCTCAGCCACCACAGCCCCAGCGGCTCGTCCGACGCCAGCGGGGGCTTCGGCCTGGCCCTGGGCGCCCACGCCAACGGTCTGGACTCGCCGCCCATGTTCGCAGGCGCCGGGCTGGGCGGCACCCCGTGCCGCAAGAGCTACGAGGACTGTGCCAGCGGCCTCATGGAGGACTCGGCCATCAAGTGCGAGTACATGCTCAACGCCATCCCCAAGCGCCTGTGCCTCGTGTGCGGGGACATTGCCTCCGGCTACCACTACGGCGTGGCCTCCTGCGAGGCCTGCAAGGCCTTCTTCAAGAGGACCATCCAAGGTGCGTGAAGGCAGGGCAGGGGCTGGGTGGGCGCGGGCAGGGGCGCCCTTGCCTGCAGGTGCAGCGGGGAAACCCGGTGATTCCCGCCAGCTGCCGGGTCGTCCCCGCGCGCGGCTACAGCAGGGGTTTGGTAGAGCCCCTTTCCCGCCTCTCAGGGTTTCTCATTCGGGATTCCCCACGAGACTCTACCTCCAGCACTGTCGTTGACACGCAGGCACGCCCCTGTGGTGCCCCAGAAAACCCCGGGAAACCCCCACACAAATGCACTGTGCATGCGCCTCTCACTGGTGTGGGGAACACGGTCAAGAGCGTGTCCCTAACGAGCTGCTTTTTGGGGGAGAAAATCATGTTATTTTACCCTGCAGTTCCAGACTTCCTTGCTATAGAAAGAGTTGTTGTTTTGATCTTTTAAGGGCACAAATGAAACACAAATATTTTCTCAATTGGGAAAGAGCCAGGCCATCAGAGCAAGGGAAACCCACTCACCCTGTCTGATCGCCGCATGGCCTGTCTTCAAGGGCTGTTGCAGTGCGCCTGTGTGGCACTGTGTTCTGATGGCCACAAGCGAGGGTGGCGGCCTCTTTCAGAGGGTATGTGAGTGATTGATTCCTATGAAGGTGTGCAAGAGCCTTGGTGGGTGGCCTCTGGAAAGTCGCCCTGAGTTAAATGGGGGATGATGATGAGAACACTCTCCCAGAGCCGTTATCAAGTTCATGGCACAGGGTCCAGCCAGAGGAATGAACCTGGCACGTGGTAGCCAAGGGTGTTACTGCAGGAGGCCATGGGCAGAGCACTTGGGCCATTCGTTTCATCAGGAGTCCACTGAGCACCCACTAAGCACCAGCCATTGCTGTAGGTGCTGTTGATTGTGGATGGACAAACAGCCCCCCTCGTGCATGGAACTGAAGTGGGGTGATGCCATTCCACTGGGACAGAAACTGCAGCCAGGCTGGACCAAACCCAGGGACACCTGTCCCGTCCCTTGGCCCTGCCTGGCTGTCCTCAGGGTGTCTTCCCTCCCCCCCTTTCCCATTTCATTTTTGGAAGAGTCAGGTTGAGCTTTCCTGGGATGACTCTCCGTGTCTTCGTTCAACAAATATTTGTTTAAATTTCTTGTGACTATTTATTCATTAAATTAGTTGAGGGCCTTAAGATTGGCCATGTTTCCAGTTCTCCCTGTTAGTTGAGACGTTGTGGTGTAGTGGTTGCCCAGCGGGTTCCTGGATCAGACAGCACCATCCGTTACGGCTAGATGCCCCTGGGCATGCTGCCTCGGTTTCCCTCTGGGTTCATGTCCTTCTCGGTAAGGTGCGATGCTCTCATTCTTTCTTCACATAGAGATGTTAAAAGAAGAGTGAGTTGGTATGTACAAAGCACTTATAATATTGCCTGGTGCTTTGTAAGTGCTAAATAAATGCTTGCAGGTACGATTTTCACTTTTACCATATTACTTACGACGGTATTATTACTAAGACACACACACTTTGTTTTATCGTACACGGTGGGCTTTTGTAATTACATAGATGTAAGTAAAACGGTGTATTTTGATTTAGGATTTAAATTATTTTGGCTATCTTAGTTACAGATAATAGTTATTTTTTTAAGTGAACCCTTAAAAAAAAAAAGGTAAAAATTCAACCAGTACCAAAGAATGAAGCTAAAATTACAAAGAATGAAGTTAAAATTACATTTTCCTAGAACCCCAGACTCGGGTTCTTTACACCTTCCTGAGAAGGAGCCATGATATGCACTGCTTTTAGCGAGCGTTTACGGACTGTGTTCACATCAGGCACTGTGCTAGACTCTAGCACGGTGCGCGCACACTTTTCGGTCCCTGCCAGCTTCACACTCCTGAGTCTGGGAGGACACCCTGGAATCTCGGAATTTGAAAAGCACTGTGTGATTAATTGGGAGTCTCCGGCCTCGGCCGGGTTGAAAACCTCCAGTCTGAGAGCCAATCTGTATCATTGGGTATCTGACCAATAAACATGACATGTTTCCACCAGTTTAAGTCACTGAGACGGCAACTGTTTTCTTCCCAGATCAGGAAATGGTCTCGGTAAGATTTTTTAGATTCTTTGAGGTCAGCTTTTGAAAAATTGCTTTTTAGGAGACAATCCCGTTTTCTTCACTCCATGTGGTTCTTCACTGAGGGTTCTGGAGGGTTCTGGATCAGATTTTCTGAAAGTAGAGGCTGGGGCAGACTCAGAAACCCTGCTCTCCCTCCGCAGAGGCCCGGGCGCTGAGAGTGCCCTCAGCACTTCAAAAGCCCACTTGAAGGATTTGTAAACAGTCTTAATTATTTGCTCCACAAAGAGGATAATGATCTTTTCCTAGAAGTCAGAGGACAAAGAGCAGCATTTCGTGCATTCGGAGCTCAGCTGCTCTTGTCTCTGTCCTTTGTCACAAGTTCTGGTTCTCCTTTACAACCGGGAAGAGGTTTCTGTTTAGAACCCGGAAAAGTACACTGTAAAGCTGATGGTTTGCTCTAGTCATTTCATTAAGTCTTTGGTTTTGTTCTAACGTGGATTTTGACTGTTGTTTCTGGACATAATGGTTGTAGAAAATGTGGAAACATAGTTAAAGTATAAAGAGGAAGACCAGTAATTGGACAGCCTCACAAAGACCAGCGGGTACCGTGTGAGTGTTCTGAGAGAGGTACTGGTGGGGGGCAGGAGAGAAAGACCGTAGCACCTGCCCTCCAGACCCTGGCGTCTAAAGCTTAGAGCTGAGTGAGTTTGCAGGCCTAGCCTAAGGCTCCAAACCAGGGTACAGTCCCCTAAGCGTCTGCGCATCCTGGGTGGCTCAGTCGGTTAAGTGTCTGACTTCAGCTGAGGTCATGATCTCACAGTTTGTGAGTGAGAACGCCGCGTCAGGCTCCTGGCCGACAGCGCAGAGCCTGGTTGGGATTCTCTCTCTCTTCCTCTCTTTCTGCCCCTCCCCCACTCTCTCTCTAAATAAACCTGAAAAAAAAATAAAGAGGATATTCAGACCATGTTTTAAAAGCCTGATAACTCGGACTGAGGGCCTCTCATCACAGAACGATCCATTCACTAATTGATATAAATGCTTGGGCAAAGCTCTAAAGTCATGCTAGCTCATATTCTGTCTCCTTAGATCCCTTCAGTCTCTCAATTCCATGCTTACATCAATATGGAAAGAAGTTTATAGAAACAAGGATGTCATGATAGACTTGAGGAAAAAACCCTCAGACAGCTGTTCTTTTTTTTTAAGATTTTATTTTTAACCTTTACACTCAGCGTGGGGCTCGAACCCACAACCCCAAGATCAAGAGTCGCACACTCCACCGACTGAGCCAGCCAGGGACCCCCAGCCATTTCTTTTCTATAAACATTTATTGAGTACGCTCTGCGTGCTTGGCTGTGCTAGGTGGGAGCACTGTGGGGCTGGGGGAAGGGGCCGGGAGAGGTGGGCTGAGAATAGCCTACAGGCTGAAGCCTGCTTTTGTCAATCAAGTTGGATTAGGACACTGCCACACCTATTCGTTCACGTAGAACCTGGCTGCTTTGGTGCTCCAACAGCAGGATGCCACAAAGCCTAAAACATTTCCTGTCTGGCCCTTTACAGAAAAAATGTGTGCTCTCCTGCACTACAGCATTGAACAAGGTAGGTACAGTCCCTCTGTCCTCCTGGGGCTTAGGATCAAACCCCTAGTAGTGCACGTTCAGTGTTTAGTGCAACTTTGCCTGCCCGATTCTGTGTGAAAGGGAGTTTGTCGTCCATGCTGGAGATGGTGAGGACACCAAGAACAGATGAGCTTAGATGCAAAAAAGGCACCTTCCCGAAGGGACCCAGTGGCTCCACAGCTAAGGAGATAATCCTCAACCTGACGGAATTTACTAGCATATCTAAGGGGGAAAAAAATGTGCTCATCAAAGAGGATTGATCAGCCCCCTACCCACCCCCCCCCCGGGTGGGAAGCTGAGGGTGATCTTGTAGGTTAGGCACATCAGTTTCTCTTTGTACTTGAATGTGTATCCCTGGGCTTATATGTCAGGTTTTGGAATTTGGCCAATGTGAGTCTGGCCCTGAGAGATGGAGCTCCTTTCTGGACTATGATACTGACCTCACAGTAATGAAAACCTTTGTAATGAGTACCAGATGAAGTGGCCTTTTAGGGAGCCACCTGGGGGACTTTTCCAAGACATACCCCCAAACCTTGACCCTGTCACCCTGCCTCCTGTTCCATTGGGAGACTGGAAGCCCTCGATGGGAATGTCCTCAGTTGTTGCCAGCCGAACTACCCACTGCCCCTTGCGAGGGATGGTCTCCTGCCCCAGGCTCTGGGTGAATCCATCCCCGCCCCACTTCTGGAGACCCTCCTACCCACTATCTCCTCTCTTTTACCCTCTCACTTCCTAGCCTCCTCCCTTCTGCATTGAAATACTTGTGGTATCTGCAATCTAAGACAAAGAAAACAAACCGATACCCACACCCTCTCAACTTCCAGCTTCCAGCCCCCCTTTCCCTTCCTCTTCTCAGTTCTTGACCCGCTTTACTGCCCTGTATCTGTATCTGCTCCTGCCTGGGCTTGTGATGAATGAGTCCCAGTTCAGCCTCCCCGTTGCGCTCCAGAGCCTTCAGCACCTACAAAACATTTCCACTTGGATGTTCTGGAAGCTCCCAAATGCAACAAGTCCTACCTGCCCTTAGACGTCTCTCCTTGTGTCCCAGTTGTCGGTTCCCTGGTGTGCAGGCCAGAAGTGGGTCTTAACCTGGAACTCGACTTCCTGCCCCCCATCCCAGACCAGCGTCCCCACAGTCATGTCCAATTCCATCTCCTTCCTTCATGTCCCTTGGCCTAATGCGTCTCTCTGTTCGCCTTGCTCTGTTCCGGGCCACCACCGACCACTGTGCTTCTAGTCTGGTCTCCCTGGCTGCCAGGATCGCCCCTTCCCAGTCTGTTTTCTTCTGTGCTGCCTGGGAGACCTTTCTGAACCAATGTCTGAACGTGTCGGTCTCCTGTCTTGCTTATGGGT